GGTAAAATTACTCAATTAGAAAAATTGCATAGCCATATAAATATATAAAGAAAGTGACACGAAAATTTGTAGATAACTGGATTTTTATTTTATCACTTAGTTTTTTCAATTTTAGCTAGGCTATTCTATATCAAAGGTAAATATTCTCAAGTTAAATTGGAATTACATTTCCATGTACTGCTGTCACTTAAAACATACACAGAGACCTAATGTCACCTAATCTATAATATGGCCTTGAGGTCAGAAATCTTTGAAGTGTGCAATTTTTATTTAAGAAACTCTTGGCATTATTCTCTACCTCTATCTTTTTTTTAACTAAAATTTTAGTTTTCATTTTGCATTCTCACCATGCAAATGTGAAAACATCTGAGTTAATTTAAGATATACATCAAGAAAAAGGTGCTTTGTATAAGACAGGGATGGATTTTGCCAATTAGGCCAACATAAGTAACATATTGCAATGGAAACTAATATGTACTTTTGAACATAGAAAATTTTTTCATGTGTGCAGGCTCTCACTATGCAGCTCCTGTTTTCTGCCTCCCTAGTTCTGGGATTGCAGGAGTGTACCACCATTCCTGGACTCAACGTAGGAAATTTTAAATAATTATTATTATCTTTCACTACTAACAACTATATTCACTGGGACTTCGGTGTTCTGTGTATTTCTGGGAGTTCTGATGGCTGGTGGGGGCCTTAGTTGGCATTATAGTAACATGACTGGGTCTTTGGTATTATATTAGGGTATTGTACTGGTCAGTGACCTCAGGAAAGGTATCAAATCCCCAATGCCTCCAATTTCCCATTTAGAAAATGAGGGTAAGGGTGTTTCTCTTATACTCCAGAGAGTTGTGGTGAGGAACAATAAGGTGGCGATTGAAACATGTGGCACAGTGCCTGTTAGCAACGCTGGGATGACAAGACCATCTCTGTTACTCTGGCCCTCTTCCATTCTCTTTCAGTATGTGGCATGAAGCCACAGCCACAGCAAAACATGGCAAATTCGGAAATGGTAATGGAAAAAGTTGTCTACAAGTGAATCTCTCTGTAAGTTCTCACAGTGATCACAGGGAACAGAGCGCACCCAATAAATATAGCAGTCCCTCGCTATTTCGTGGTTTGACCTTTGCAGACTCAGTTTCACAGGCTTTCAAAGAATATTAATCTAAATTATTGTGGGTTTTTTGCTATATCGCGGGATCTTGCAGTATTGTATAGTACACATATGTTGTTAAAATTACATAGGTTTATGAGTTTAGAAAATGGTTACGAACATTAGAAGTGTTTTAAACATGTAGGAAAGGTTTACAAGAGTAAGGTGTTTATAAAGCCTTAAAATATATATAAATACTAAAATAAAGATAATGTTGCTACTTCGCTGATTTTCACTTATTGCAGGGGGGTCTGGAAGGCAACATTGGTGATAAGTGAGGGACCACTGTACAGCTGTTTCGGAACTTAGGTTCAAGGTGCTAGTAATGAGGGGACATTAAGAATATAAATTAGGTCCTTTAGGGAGACTATGAAATCATGGTTTAGTTGAAAAACCAAGACGTGTGTGTGTGTGTGTGTGTGTGTGTGTGTGTGTGTGTGTAACAGTCCCATCACCTAGCAGCACATTCCAGAGGTGATTCCAACTTCAAAACTACCTTATGTAATAGGTGATTTCTTTGACTTCACTTTCATACACTTCAGGTAAAACACAGAAGCATTAAGTATTTTTTCATGCAAAGCTCTAACAAGTGGAAGAGTCTAGACTTAAACTTCACGGCCTTGAGTGCTTGGACTTCAAGCGCTCAACCACAGGACAGTTGATTCACCAGCCTAGGCCGTCCTACGTGATAACTGTGCTGATGACAGAAAGAGCTGTTGGCAAAAAGAGCTAGCACATGGCAGTGATAAATCAGGGGTTCTGTTCTGGGCCCTTTGTTAATTAATTGTCCAAGGCAGGAGAATTTCCTGTGGGGAAAAAATAACCTCTTCCTCTTCTTCAAAGAGAGTTATTTAGTAATTATGTGCCTCACCTTTTCCTCAGCTCACTGGCGCATGGGTGCGCTCAGCTGTCCCCTCCTCTTGCCAGGCACTGGTCATAGCAGTGGGTGAGAAGAAAGTGTCCTTCCAAGGAATCCACACAAGGGACTGACCCCTCTCCAAACTTATCCTAGAAGCTCACTGCTCAAAGTGTGGGCCACAGACTAGCAACATCAAAACACTTAAGCACTTGTTGAAAAATACTACATGCACTTAAGTTCCTTCCTCACAAATACTGAGAAATACAGAATGTGAATGGTAACAAGATCTCTGGGTGATTGTGGGCACATTAAAGTATGAAAAACCTGTCTTAGAGGACTCTGTTCACTATTCCACATCTGTCTCACATGCTGTTGACAGGCTTTCCCCACCTCCTGGAAGAACAGTCCTGGAGGAGTCAGAAGTTCCTTTGTGCTCCAATGTGACTTCTGAGTCTTAGTTTGCCAGCATCTTAATCCACACTTTCTATAGGAGTACACTCATAGATGATGCCTGGGTAAGAGTGTTTATGCATTAAAAGAGACCTGGGTATTGAGTTTAGTCTTAACAATAATTATAATTTGCTAGATGTGTTGGGAAGGGATAGGTGGGAAAGTCAGAAAGAATGATATACAGACTTCATTTTTTTATATTTTAATAATTTTATTAAGAAAGAAGTAGCAATGAGATAGTTTCAAAACAGGTTAGTAGTACAGTTACAATAATTAATACATTGCATATTGTTGTCTTTGTAGTAGTTATTCCTAGCACAAGATGCAGGCATGATATCTTGTCTAACCACTATTAGTTCAAACCCTTCTTCTCATTGAACTAAGAGAAAGCTGTATATTTATGCTATTTTGTATATACAGATATGTATTTTTCCACTATAAAATGGTCCATTTATACCGCCTTTTTTGTTTAATTTTGTCAGAGATGTGTATTCCATAGCCATTCATGTATTGTAGGTGCATGAATTCAGCAGAGTAATCCAATATAGTCCAGTAGTCTATAATAGTAGTGGATTCAGTTCCATGGGAGAAGGCAGAACGTAGACTGTCACTGGAAGCCAAGTAGATGAGGAAAAATATCACGGGTATCTAGTCTTGGGTCACCTGGCGGTATACAGATTGGGGGGGGGAGACACATCTAATAGTGAGAAGCAGCCCTAAATAACAACTATGAACCTGATTATTCGAACAAAACATGAATGGGACAGAGACACTGGCAAGCACACAAGCAGAAGTTATGCTGACGTTGTATTTCTTAAAGTTTGCTCAGGGTGCATTCTAGATGTGTGCAACAGCAAGCTTTAGTGCAAGGCTCCTGCGAGGTACAGCTGTTGGCTCTAGGCCTCTGTTGAGGTATGAGTATGAACTCTCCCTGGCTATATTATATCTGGCAATAAACAGGGAATAAATCAATAGGCGTAGCTGAAAGCTGCATTTGAAGACACATTTCTCTTTTCATTGCTATTTGGAGCCAAATTTTAAGAGGGAAAATAGGGTAGTAGAAATTCTTGACATGTTTTTAGATCACTTAAAGAAACGGGTATGCAGCAAAAATAAAGTATTGATAGTAAAGCAGATGAGCTCTAACCTTATTGGGCATTATGGATATTGATTGGAAAGTAAATTAAGCATGCCCTTCTTACTTATGTAGGGGGTTAATATTTGCCACAAGTATTCTCATATCCTCATTACCTTCCTCCCCAAGCCAGTGTTCAGTCACCGTCACTTGGAATTGCATTTGGAAAACAGTGATAAGTACTTAGGTATAAAGGCACCCATGAAGAGTCAATAAATTGCATAAGAAAGAGGATTTGCTCTTCTGCAAGTGACATAAAGACAGATGGCTCCCCATCAAGGAGTTTCTGAGACAAAGCTTTATATAGATAGGAGGCTGGAATTAGACGGTAATAGAGAGATTCTATTCTCAGTGGTCGGATGTTAAATTAATTTAGCCTACCCAGTTTGTGGAGCTTCATCTGTTACATGAGAGGCCTATAATGTGGCTGTCAAGATGTGCTTAGGTGTTTACTACTTATTTGTCACCCTTGCCTCATGCAGACCCTTTAGAATTCGAACAGCCAGGATCTACTGTGTGGGATACAGTTCTGTTAGATGTTGGGGTTTTGCTACTTGGGCAGTCCTCCGGATGGAAAAAGTCCCGTTGTCTTTTACAGCAGAGGCTTAGGGTGCTAAGTTTGTTGTTTACGGTGCATGGCTTCTCCTGCGTGGCACAGATAGGCATGGGCATTTGATGGCTTTGAATGAATTCATCAGCGTCTGAGGGAACCCCATGAGTAATCCAGTAGAACTGCCTCACCTTACGAATGAAAGCATTAAGGTCCATGGATATTACTGTTGTCTCTGCTCAAGGTCATCTATTTAGTGACAGTGGCAGTCTGATCCTGACTACTAGACAAGCAGTCTAGTGCTCATGCTCTGGAGCCTCATATACAAGATGCTGCTCTGTCTTCCATTTGTAGCATTCAAGTCATTCTGTGGTGTTTTTGCCTTGCTTTCCCCCCCTGAGGGTTGAACACAGGCCTTCACATCGCCTAGGCAAGTAGCCTGCCACTGAGCTGCTCCCGCAGCCCTCTAGTCATGTTTTGGTATTGATCTGAATTTCTCACCAGTGTCACTGGGTAAAAATGAGAATAGCAACAGTAACTGGCAATGATTCAGCATGCGCTGTGGGCGAGATGTGGCGCTATGGGCTTCGCATATAGAACTTCATTTAATTCTTGTAATATCCCTAATAAGATATACAGTATTGTCATTATTCTGTTAAATTAAAAATGTATCCACAAGAGTTACATAATTTCCTTGTATCTACACAGTAAGATTCAAATTCAGGATTTGAGCCTGTAGTCTATCTGGTTTCTGACCACTCTATTGTATTCCCTGCTAACCTACTATGAGATTTAGTTGGTATTCTTCTTTCCCTAAGCCAGTCCCTTGCTCACAGCTGTCTTGCTTTTTCAGGAACCGCAAATGAATGCAAAATCAGGAAACCCTGCCTTGAGATGCCCCGGGCTGGGGCTTGTTGTTCCTGGTCATCTCTGTCCTCGAAGCAGCTACAGCAGCAGTGAACTGTCTCTTTCTAGCACCTGCAGTGAGTACTCCAGCGGCTCCTCCTACACATGGCATGATGGGAAGAACCTCAGGAAAAGGGTAGGTCCCCCCTTCAAGGTGCATTCCGCATTACAGTGAGCCAGCAAAGCATCTGCCTCTGCTAGGATCTCATCGTAGAGGTGGAAAGTGGGAGGGAAGCGTAGGAAGAAAGCAATCATCTGCTCAGTACCTGCTCAAGGGTTAGCCTGGCCTTTGCTAATCAACACTACAGGCTCATAAAACAAAATTTGACTCTAAATTGGGTAGCAGCAGGGCAGAGAGAGAAAATATCATCCTATGGTGGATAGTAGGGGCCTTGACTTTAGTGATGGTAAGCTTGTTCCTAACTATACTATTCACTAGGAATTCCTTTCCAGGCTTTGGATAATCTATCCCACTAAAGTGGTTCCCATGTGCACAGTGGGCTCACACAAGTGAAGATTCTTTCATATTTAGGACTAACAACTTTGCATATTTGTACAAGCCGAGTGTTTTGAAATAGCTATTTTAGCAGTTCCCCAAAGGTGAAGAAAAGTGGAGTACATGAGAAGGAAACCCTGAATCAGAATATTTAGAAATCATTTTCTACTATTTGGATACATTAAGTTTATGAATTTGGTTTGTTTTGGCAATGTAGAAACCTGGAAAATCCCATACAGTAGCTCCCCAAAATATTGGTGGAGGAGTAGTTTTGTCATCCTCTGAATGAGAACTCTGGAAAAGATTTCAAGCCTGCGTGTTATACCCTTGCGCTCCAAGTTCTAATGCAAGGGCGAGAGCGTGCTACATTATCAGAAGTTGAACAGAGCTTCTGAACAGTGACTGCCAGGGGCCTGGCTCCTACAGAATGAGAAGATGTGCAGGGAGTTTCCTGGCTTTGTGTGTGGCCATTATTGGCATCTACAGCCCTGTTCTCTATTCATTTTAGCTCACACCTCTTCTGCTTTCCCTCCTGGGGTCTTTCTCCTTTCTAATGGGATCAGTCCTTGAAGTTCTGAAGCAATCTCTTCCCTGAAAGAGGAGAAGGGGGATTCTTAAGGCAACACAGACACTCAGGTGCTCATCACATCAGGGTCATGGAGCTGCCACATCTCAATAGATAGTCCCGGTTCTCAGGGACCAGCAAACTAGACACTTAAAATCTACATCATTTAAGGCACTTCTGTGTTCCCTACCTGGTACCAAGTGTCCTTTAGTATTGACTCAAATAAAATACATTTAAATAACCTGAGTCCAAATGGGATTACAATACTATATAGTAATAAGTGATGACTTTTTACTAATTTTTGGTCTGCATACTTAAGTGGTTAACCCTCCAGAAGAGAAGCTTAATGATATTATTACCCTACAACAAAGGCAGTTGAGCTTTACCTCACTGTCTGTCTGAATATCAAACATCATAGACATAACATGGAACAGATACTTTCCATCAAATATTGATATGTTAAACTTTTAAACCCCTCCAGAATGTGAAGGAAAAAAAAAACAAATAAAAAATATTTTTAAAATAGGAAAAAGCAATTACATATGTTTACACAAAGATTTAGAAATCTAAGCATATACAGCATTGTAGCAAGACAGTCCTATGATGACTAACAGGTCTTTTGAGATCAATGTATTTCTCTTAAGAAAGTTTGTGTAGAAATAGCAATCCTATATGAAATATCCAAGTGAGCCCTACATTAGGAAATTTGGTGCTAATAACGAGTTATTACCACATGCAGCCTACTTTTCTAAGAGCAGGTCTCAGCTCATAATGTAATGCTCACTATAGCCATTTAGGTAGGTAAAGTCTTTTGTTCTCCCCATTTTACAGGTGAGAAAACAGAAGTGCTGAGAAGTTAAATAACTGTCCCAAGATCCAGTAGCCAGAACATGGCAGAATCAGACAGCTGATTCCAGGAGCTTTACTCTCAACATGTCTACTATCCTGGCCGTACTGAATCAACCTAACACATCTGGGTGTTGTGCGAGCTGTGGAGTTGGATTTGTTCCCATTAAGATCAGCAGTGCCCATAATTCCATCCCTCTGGGAGGATGCAGCAGGAGGACCGAGTTCAGCCCTCACCTAGGCAATTTAAGAACTCAGGAAGACCCCGTCTAAAACTTTAAAACAAAATAATAAAAGGCCCGGGGATGTAGCCCTAAATTTAATCCCCAGTACTGGAAAAGAAAAGAAAAAGACCAATACCTTTTATAAAATAAATAGATAGACTTGTAAACCTGTTGTGCACTCAAAAATGAAAAAAGCTTGTGGTCATTAAACACCAGCCCTACCTCACCAGCCGCCCACTTTGCTCCCTAAAGTGACTCTTCCAAGTCTGCTCAGCAAATGATGCATTGGCCTGCGGGAAATGCCAGCTCCTCCACCTCCTCCCTCCCACAGGGCATTTATTTTACCACCAGCTTTCAAAAGCGGCCCAAACTTTCCCCAGGTTATTAAATACCATAACCCCCTGTAGCAAATTGATGGAGGAGCCTGCTTCACCGCAGTGGGAAGTTTGCACTGCTGACTCGGGAGACTCAGAGCGCAGCAGGCGTGAGCGCTGAAGAGGCAGGAAGGAGGTGGGTGGGTAGGGGCTGAGCACCTCTTCAGGGAGGTGAACAAATCTGCTTCTTTCAAGCTCTTTTCTGGCCCTTTTCCTGCCTTCTCTGTGACTATCGAAATCACGGAAACCCGCAGAAACCTGAGCTGCAGCAGCCTCCTCTCTGGCCTGTCTCTAATACCCAAACTCACTAACGGGATTTCTTTCAATTTCCAAAGGAGCTTTGAATAATGTGAAAGAAGAGGGGGAAGAAGGGTAGCATCACCAAATGGCATCTGTTCCCAGTAACTTCTGACACTGGGGAGTTTTCCAAAGAAAATATATTATTTGATTTAGAAATAAATAAATATGTGCGTTATTGGTATCAAGAGTAACTTTCATGAAAACGCCTTAGATAAAGGCAAATGTTCACAGTTTATAAAATCCCCAAGTTCCAATATAAGTTTCTGCCTCTTTTTTTACCTCTGCATCTGAGCCTGTATTTAATACTTAGACATATGTGCAGGGAGTGGCTGGTGTGGCCAGGATTGCTGGGTAGTACTCCTCTGAAATTACATTTGTTCCTTGAAGTTATTCATCATTAATTATATGGCCTTTTTTAAAAAAAAAATATGTAACAGGTCAGCCCTTACACCCTACAGACTTCCCCAAGTGCTGGTTTGTTACGGACTCTGTCAGTTGTATATAAGAAATGGTGCGGGGTTGAGCTAGGGTCTCTACTACAAGACCACGACCAATACTGAAGACTAGAGGGTACACCTGACTTGGAATAAAGTGCTAAGATTACAAAGAGTGAAGCCTGAGAGTTCCTGCAGACTGCCCAAGTTCATGCCTCTTCCCACCACTTTTGAACTGAGGCAAAATTCACAGTGTTGTAGAAAGTGCCAGAGAAACCAAAGTTCAAAACTTCGTTTCAGCTCTTTTATTTTCTGGTTCACAATAAGACAGTCTCCTTGAATCCCACTTTTCAGCGCAGTGAAATGGGGGGTGATAACGTCTCCCCATGGTCATGGCCTGCAGGTGCACTTAGAGGGCCAGGAAGGTGGTCGGTAGACAGCAGGTACCAGTAAATGCTGGTCACCTCTGCTCACCTTGCCATTTTCTGCTGTTGATATTGTAAAAAATACGCATGTGTAGAAGGCAGTCTTTTTCCCATCTCATTTCCAAACACTTTTCCAAAGCTAAAGCTCGTATTTAGGGAGGTATGAAGGCCAGGAATGTGATCTTTCTAAGTTCGTTGGAGAATATTTACTAGAGGGTTCTTACTGCAAGCGTCCACCTGCTGTACATAAGTATGTGTGTATGTGTATGCTTATGTACATAATAAATTCAGAAATTGTTTTCAGAGATATTTGTAAAGTCGCAAAATTTAGGTTGGCAAAGACATGATGCTATGACCAACTTCCTTTTCCAGCTTGACCCTCCTCTATCTCGCCTTTACCCTCTACGCCAACATGTGTTGTCTCCTGCTCTTTGCCTGAGTGCCCCTTAACACCCTTCCCTGACTTAGATCTTTGTCCCTTCCATTTCTTCAACCTAGAAGACCTTTTCTCAACTGACAGAAACATATCTGTCTGCTAGGTGTTAGGTAAATTTTTTAATGCCTTTGCTATATGCTTTTCAAGATTTTTCCTAACAGACCCAGGGCTGCCCCTCTGAATCTGAGCACACCCCAGTCCTCCTTTGCAGGACATACAGCTTGTGCTCCTGGAAGACAGGCTCTTTACTTTCTCCTTCTTTGCTTTGCTGTGTTATTTAACACAAAACCTGGCAGAATTGATCTTACTGCACATACAGCTTCGCCGTTTTTTTTTTTTTTTTTTTTATGAAAATACTTATCAAGCAGTAGCACAAATTAAGTCTAATGCTGGGCTTCTCCCTTTACACGTTTCAACTCTCCTTTTCTTTTCATATATATATTTAGTACAGGGTCTCATTACAGAGATTGGTCTCATAGTGATCCTCCTGTTTTCAGCCTCCCAAGTGCTGGGATTACAGGCGCGCACCACTGCACCCAGTCTCAGTCACTGTCTCAGCGCACCCCGGGGGCAGGACTGGCCCGGCACACCGGGAATCAAACCCCAGTCCCTGCGTCTGCCTAAGCAGGTGCTTTAATCTGCTGAGCTACCTGGCCTGCCCTATTCAACCGTTTCTGATATCTGCTATTCTTCCCTAGCAACCATCACAAAACTGGGATGAAAGACGAAGCATCGATTCTTCGCTCCCGAGTGGCTTTGCTAGTCCTGCAGACCAACTACCTCCGACTCGGATCAAGGAAAGCCACATTTTGGAAGGGCTGAGAAAGCTCCAGAAGCGAAAAGTGTTACTTGAACCCTCTTCCGTGATAACCAAATGGGGTTATAAAGATTGCATGAACTCGAATGAAGGGATATATTCTCCAGGAATCAAGAGCATCAGTGTCAAGGACTGTCCATCCTGCAGACCGCCGGGTGTGGAGAGCCCCTGCCAGGAGCCCCACAAGGCATTTGTTTATGACGCAGCTTCCCCTGAGGACGCCGATGCTGGCTCCTCTTCGCTAGCACTCCTGCAAGCAGTTCCAAACCTGGGCTGCAGGCTGCATGGCAGTAAGTTAACCCACAGTGTTTCTGACAGCCTCTTTTGCTGGGAGCTGAGGGGAAAACACTTTGCAGGAGGCACATCTTCTGTTTATCCCAGGGAAAGGCCTGAAAAGTTGACTCATGCCAGCCACTGCCCCTTGGAGAGGAAGCTGTGCCCACGAGTGCAGGTGCCACTGCCACAGCGGGACAGAGATCCTCACAGCCAAGGCCATGACCACACAATCCTCAACCTCCAGTTTTCAGACATGGATGAGAACGAGATCCTCGATGACCTGCACATAGAGAGTAGCGATGACAAAAGCCCTTCAGAATTGTCCTTGACAGCTGACACGGACAAGTCCACAGAGAACCTGGATGTCCTCCTGGGATTTGAGAAACCTGAACGTGAGTCTCCTGATGAAGAGGAAAAACGGGTCCCCACCCAGTTAGAAGCTAGGCCAAAGACATTTAATTTCATTAAGCAGCAAAGGGCCATAAAAAGGACTTCTTCAGAAGAATGTATCAGTGTAATATTTGATGCAGAAGACGGTGAGCCCTTTGAATTCAGCTCACATCAGACTGGAGTTGCTACTGTTACCAGAAATGAAATTCCCACTAACACAGCCCCTGATGGACCCACAGCAGAACACACTGAATTTTTACCTCAGGGAACTGCTTATTTACATCCTGGAAATGCTCCAAGAGACTGTCCATTCTTAAAGAGATCTGAAGAAGGAACTGAGAAAAACATTCCAACAGGTGGCATAGACTCCATTTCTTCATCCCCCACGGACCCATTCAGTGCTGGAACAGTAATGCAAAATGCCCCTCACCCAAAGCTGGCTAAAGCAACATCCAGTGTGTCGTGCCACAGTAACTCAAGCTCCGTGGCATCCATGAGCATCTGCCAAAAGCAAAACCTGAAAAAAATACCTGCCAGGGGCAAGTCTTCACCTCAGAAGTCAAAATTAACAGAGTCTGAAGGCTCCACACTCATCCCTTCATGTGGCCCAGTGACTCTTAAAAAATCACCAGCCTTACCTCCTGAGAAACTTGCACGGTTCATGAAGATTGAGAGAGCAGGGCCCATCGGTGATGTGCCACCAGATTCACACATTCCAACACTCCCCACTCAAACTTCTTGTGGCCCCAGAATGTCCAGCCGGAGGGACTGGGCTCAGCACCCCAAGAGTCAGATGCCAGGGCCAAGATCAAGGCCACTTATTGAGCTTTGTGACAGTGGAGAGCCCCCCACAAGGGATAAACACTGTGTGTCTGAGCCAGAGGCAGGGGTGACATCTCCTTCCCCACCGCCCCCTCCAGGCAGGTCAGTCTCCCTGCTGCTCAGACCCCATTATGACTCTCCATCACCACTTGCCTCTGCCAAGCCTGAAACCAGGCTGCCTGGCGACACAACGAGAACAGCCTGCAAATCTCCCCTGCTGAAAGGAGCCCCTGCACCCGTAGCTTCTCACCAGGCCACAACAGAAGTGCAGAAGAAGAAACCTTCCATAGCCTTGAAAAAGCCTGTTTTCCCTCACATCCTGCCTTCCTCAGAGACAGCGATCCACCCTGGGTGCTCTGTTCATGCCCCCTCCAGCTCATTTGCCCTGGTGACTCCAGGGGCTCCAAAGGTCTCTCCAAAGAGAGGTGTTCCCAAAACCTCTCCTCACCAAACGCTTGGGACCACACACATGGACACAGGGTTACGGGTGCCTAAGTCTTGTCCTTCTACCCATGAGTCACTGGAGGTACTGCCCTCAAAGAGTGCATCTCCGGGAAGAAGACAAGTGAACGACAGCATCCATGCCTCCGCCAAGCCCTTCTTCTTAGGGGCAAATGATTCACCACCATCTCAGGTCAGCAGTTCCACGTCCTCCTCCTCTTCCCCCAAAAGCCATAGCACCCAGCATGGTTGTCAAAATGCTCGTGAGAAAGGACTGAAAACTCGCCTCCCAGTGGGGCTCAAAGTTCTCATGAAGTCTCCCCAGTTGCTCAGGAAAAGTTCCACAGTGCCAGGGAAACATGAAAAGGATAGTTTAAATGAAGCCTCTAAAAGCTCTGTAGCAGCAAGCAGATCTAAGCTTGAGGACTCCGGGCATCCGGCAAAACTGGGAGCCACTGGGTGTGAACAAAACACCCCTATACCAGATTTACACACACCAGACAGATTAGCTGAAGGACTTCCCCTGGAAACAATGCTGCCAGAGTCACTGGAAAATGGCATCCCTGGGGCTGATGGAAGAGACAGGCTAGAAAACAGATCAGTGAAGAGATCCCTTTCCTCTAGCAAGCCACATCTAAAGCCAGCCCTAGGCATGAATGGCGCCAAAGCCCGAAGCCAGAGCTTCAGTGCTCACCCAGGAGACAAGCCCTCTCCACCCTCTGCAGAAGGGCCAGGCAAAATCCGAACTCAGATTATTACCAACACAGCAGAGAGAGGCAACTCTCTTACTCGGCAGAACACCTCCACAGAGGGCTCCCCAAACAACACCCGTTCTACCCTCACATCTGAGCATCTCCTCTGTGCTGGCCATACTTTTTTCAGGCAGGGCTCCGTGGGGAGCACAGGCAGCACCAGCAGCCAGCATGGGAGCCCAAGCAAGCTACCTTTGAGAATCCCCCTAAGGTCTGAAGGACTTCACAACCAGCCTGGAACAGAAGACTCCCAGGTTTACACAAGAGGAGACAGTGCTAGTGTGGCTATACCTGAGCAAGGAGGCGGTGACTGCTGCAGGTGCCCACCCACTCCAACAGACTATCTGCTAGTGCCTCAGGCCCCAGGAAGGACAGTACATCCAAGCAGTTTAGAAACAAGCAGGACTTCCAAGCTGGAAATTTCTGGAAGATATCCAGATGTCTATACAACTAAGACTAGTGCTATAAGCCCAGAAGCCCCCCTCTCACCCACAATCGAAGAAAAGGTCATGTTGTGCATTCAAGAAAATGTGGAAAAGGGCCAAGTGCAAACAAAGTCCAGCTCTGTGGAAGCAAAGCCTAAGCCAGGGCCTTCTTTTGCCAGCTGGTTTGGTTTTCGAAAGAGTAGACTTCCCGCTCTCAGTAGCAGGAAAATGGACTTCTCCAAAACCAAGGTGGAAAGGAAAGATGTGAAAGTCTTGGGGTTTGGAAACAAACAACTAAAATCAGAAAGAAAGAAAGAGAAAAGGAAGCCTGAACTGCAATGTGTGATAGAAAATGAGTTTCACAGGGGTAACAGGTTGGCAGAAAGTCCTGACAGTGGATTACAAAACAAAACTCATCTGAAACCATCACAAGATGTGTGCAGCCACATGAACTTTGAACCAAGAAACAGACCCAGCCCTGTTCCGTGTTCAACAAAAGACACCTTCATGACAGAACTTCTGAACAGGTAAGTCTCTGGCCAAAGAGATGGCAGTGTAGAGAGTTATGTGGAGGCTGCCCCTTTCCCCCTATAGAGAGTTTGCTTCCTGCACATTAAATACCAGCCAAGCATGGTTTCTATACCAGCAGAACTGCAGAGAAGCAGTCTTTTATACATTAGCTAGAATTTAAACAGTGAAATAAAAGTTAGCAATAAAATGATAATTTAGTCCATGTTACTTTGTTAACCAAACCAATGGTCTTTGAAATTAAAGAATGGTAAGTTTTATCAAGGTTGATAGAAATTCAACCTACACTAGGAATTCTGAATGTACTCACATGGCATGAAATGGAAGAAAATTACACATACGTTTTAAAGCATGCGAGTTCATTGATTATACTGAGCAAATGTATACTTAGAAACTTGCAGAAATAATAACTTTTCATGCCTATCTTAAACCAGGAATGTATTTAGTAATCACTCTCCAGTGGGTTTGATTTTATCCCTGTCCATAAGCAATCATACAAATAAAAATAAATTATGGTGCCATCAAATCTAAATTGACATACTACTGGAATGTTTGAAGATTTGATCAAGGCCAGTGAATTCCACTTACCAGTCAAAGGCTTGAAGACAAAGAGTCCCATGCAGGTTGCTTTAAACATTAAAGGATGGGGCAAAAGTGTGTGATTGAAGAAGAGCAATGTAATTTATCAGAGGAATCATTTTCTATCTGCAGAGTTGACAAGAAAGGAACTCAACAGACAGAAAGTGGATCAAATAGTGTTTCCTGCAGGAACGTGTTAAAGGCCGATTCCCAGGGCTCCTGTCTCAGTGGCAGCTCTATCAGCACTCAAGGAAGCCACAAGAAAAGCATCAAAACCAAAGTGGATATGGAAATTGCCAGAGACTCCCTGGTAAGTGCTCTACCATCCAGTTATAAAATGTTTCAATCTGAATATTCTGGCTGAGTTCTTTCTTTCTCTTGCAAATAAGATATGGCTAAGAGATTACAGGGAAAATAGCTAAAGAGAAAGATTTTTAAGAGAGAAATCTTGATGACAACTGCAAGGGAGAGCTGGCAGCTAGACCCTGAGCGGGCTTGGCCACCTCCTGGCATGCTGCTCGGATCGCTCTATTTTCAGAACAATGGTATGATCGCAGTGTGGTGCAGTTCAGAGATGTTTCTGGTGTCATCTTTAAATTATACCTTGTACTAGCAATTTATTTTTATGATTTTGATTATTACAAGCAGCAAAAAGGAACGAATGCAATTTTAGAAACAAAAGTGTTAAATGATTGGAGAAAGCATCAGTTATACTTCATCAGCTATTCTCATGATTTGATTTAAGCATTGTTTATTTTTTATCAATGTTGTATTACCATTTTATCTGGACAGTGTTAAGCCCAATGGAACTTGCTAGCTTTTTTTTAAGCTGGTTAACAGAGAGTGATATATTATCTATTTTTGCTGTCAAACCTGTTGCTCAGATTAACAGATATAGTTATGCAAGATGGGACATATAATGGAATATTACCACATGCTTTCAAGAAATCTTAAATTTTTGTTCTTGTCTCTCATTTTCTTTTATTGCCTTTTTAAAAATTACTTTAATGAGAGTATAGTAATAATTGATATGACATTAGAAATGGTACACATTTAGAAAACCAAGGTGACAGGTATTTCAAGCACGGTTTTAGTATTATACATTGCTGTCCTCAATGTAGTTGCTTAGTTCACAGATATCAACATAAAGAGTTAGTCAGGGTAAGAACTCTACCCATTAACTGCTATTTGCAAAAATCTGATGGAGATTCTTAGGACTATTGCTGTATCCAACCTACATATGTACATGTATGGTTTTGCCCCTAAATTATTTCCTAACTTTTCTCCTTTCTCTCTCTTTGTTCCTTCATCCTTATGTTCTGTTTCTATCCATTTAACTGTGCTTGTTATACCTTTTAATTTTTGTAAATTTTCAATTATGAAATCCAGGACTCAAGGAATAGACTTCCTTTAAAAATATAAATAAATACTAGGTTGGGGATATAGTTTAGCTTCAAAGCATAACACCTTGAGTTCTAGCCCCTGCACTGAAAAATGAATGTAACAAAAAGTAGATAAGTATTTTTTTTATTCCTCTAGGGTATTCTGGGTTTAGGTAATTATTTTAAAATTGTATTTACTTCCTTAAGATTCATCATACGCTTATTAATGGTGGTGTTCATTGTTCCCTTAGTAAGTATTTGAACACTTGAACCAAGAAAATTTCTCTACAGAATTTATCATACCTATGTCTTTTCCTACAGTATTAAAAGAAAATTATGAAATGAAAGTATAAGCTACCAATTTCAGAAGAAAAATTTGAAATATAAAGTAGTTAATGCTTTTTTTGGATATGGTGCAAGGAGATACTAAGTAATTATGGTTGGCATTATTGGATCTTAATTATAATTATTTATTGATACTCAGCATTATTTGGGTTATGGTTTCACAGACACAGTCTAATTGGAGAGAATTGCAGATTGAAATTGTTTTTACTCGGACAAGTCTGGAATCCAAACAGCTATCCAGTCCTTCTTTGAAACTCTTTGATATCACAGACAGACTGTGCTGATTGCAGAAGTTTCAACTTTTTCATCCCTTTTTGCTGTTGGCTTCTGCGTTATCATTTCTTTGAAAGCATAGATATTCCCTACGTTATAAAACCACAAATTATAAGCGTATCGGAGACTGCCCTTGTAGTGTCACTGAAAGGGAAGGGAGAAAAGGAATGTGGGGAAGTGTGCAATATGCCAGAAGTTCACTCCAGCTGATGGAGCACTGTGATAGCCCGGCACAGTCCTTATCAGAAGCGCTCCATTTAACTATGCGGCATTTAGTACGCTTCTGACAGCTTAAGGTGTATCTTCACTGTGCAGGAGTACCAAAAAAACAAAAAGACCCTATGTTGCCTTTAGCGATTTCATTTTTACTTTCTTACAACTTTATAATGCTAAAGTAATTTGCCATGCATTTCCTCACTACTCTGCAGTCTTTCATGGGGGTAATAATAAGGGTCCTTTCCTCTTTCTAGAATATCTGGGAGAAACACTCATTTTCTATGAAGGACAGACACCCCTAACCACCTCCCAAATACATAATCAATGAGGATATGCTAATTGTTCTAGCTAGTTACAAGAAGAAAGTAGTCATGCAAAGAAGCTTTTCCATAAAGAGAAGATCACCAGCCCAGTCAATGACCAGTTAATCATTTTACAAAAACTATAAAATGCAGTGTTTTGTGTTTTTTTTTACTTTTTTTATTAATTATTTTGAGAAACAAATAGCAATGAGACAGTTTCAAAACCAATTAGGACAGTTTCAATAATTAATACATTGCATATTGTTGTCTTCATAGTGGTTATTCATAGTACAAGATGCAGACATGATATACTGTCCAAACACTCTTAATAGAAATCTTTCTTCTCATTGAATTAAGAGAAAGTAGCTGTATATCTATCCTATTTTGCATATACAGATACAAAACAGTTCTTCATTTATACCCCCTTTTTTGTTTAGTTTTGTCAGAGATGGGTATTCCATTGAAGATGTAGTGTTTTTTGTTTCATGTCCCTAATTATCTGTGTGGATTAAGCTAAAATTATCTGTGTGGATTAAGCTAAAATTACTAATTTTAAAAAGGACATTGCTGTAGTGTCCTTGGGGACTAGTATAAGAAATGAGTGATAACCCATTTATTATGCGTTAGCAGCCTATACAGTAAGATTAGATGCAAAATAAGATACACTTTTATACTGTAGCATATTGGTGTGAATACTTGTGAACCTTTTGAAGTTCAGAATTTAAAGGAATTCTCCCCAACTAGGGCTCAAGGTAAATATGTTCTCTGCTTATTTTAAAGTGTATTGCAAAGAATTTGTATTATTGTAATAGTTGTTATGGATGCAAACAATAGCTATTTATTATACATTGTATATCATATCTTCTTTCCTAACTAAAACTATAATGCCCAGGGCTGGGAAAATAACTCAGCAGGATAAACACCTGTCTGGCAAGTACAAAGCCATGAGTTTGAAACTCAGTACAAAAAAAAACCTCCTATAATTCCCAATCCTTATGACATAACATACCAGAATTCCTTGCCCTTTATAGACTGTTTTAGTCATGAGAGTTCTATCCATTTTAATTATTTTAATGATAGTGATAATAGAAAGGTTGTGTCCATATATAGCAAATTTCTTTACGTAGCAAAACATGTTGTTCACTACTAACTGCATAGCCCCTTTCAGTATTGTTAAAATTCATTTTTAAAAGTATATAAAAGCCCCAGGAATACTGCACAGAATTAAGTCCTTCTCTTTTCAAAACCTTAATTAAAGGCTTATATACCCATTTCTGCCATCATTTATAGATCACTTAACTCTAATTTTCATGTAATTTAGACCAGGGGCCATGTTACATTGTACTTAGGATGATTTTATACAATTTTCTGAAAAGAGGGGAGTGACATCCTCTAGAAAGATTGTTTCTACATGAAGTCAGAGAGAGGTGCACTTTGCTGGCCACACATTGTGAGTTCTTCTTTCTTGTGTATTGAGATCATTTTCTGAAATGGAAAGTGTCAAAAGAAGACAGCTCCAGGCTCCTGTTTAATAGCACTGGACACAAATAAAGAATATTCACAAAATTAAAGAAATCATATACTTTCATCATGCATGGGAGAGAAATAGCCATCTTAATATGGGTATTTTAATTTAAATTATGGGTATTCTCTCCACCCAAGTGTCACATACTTGGAAAAAAATCACATCTGCTAATAAAAAATCATCAAATGTGATCCCATTAAAATGGTACTCTGGTGATGAAATAGCAGAAAATAGTACAATAATTATACAAATTGTTATCATCTTATTAGGTTGTGGAGAATGCTCTAATTCCAGCATCCCTAATTGAAAGAGTCTGTTCTGGATGCTATTCTGATGCTCACAGGAAGCACGCCTGTTTTGCCATCCTTTCGCAAGGTTTTCTAAAGGATTAACTCCTCCGGGGATTAGGCCTTCTAGTTTTTCCTCATAGAATCACTCCCTAGATCATGCAGATGGTTGTGTTCTTTTCCTTTTAGGTGAAATTGAGCATCAAAAATGTTGTTTTGAAGGGAAGCCATTGCTCTTAGGGTTGAGATAAGAAACAGGTGCAAAATTCAGAGGAACGCTGTCCCTAGATCAGGGGTTTAATTACAAACTTCTATGTAGACCTCCGTGATAGATTATTGTCTCCCTTTGCCCTGAGGTGTCTTCTGTGAGTTCATTTCTTCCCACTCTCCCTAGTTCAAGAGTTAACAGGATAGGGACGCAGTGATATTTAATGATTACTTGTTATCGGTTGCTATTTGGAGCAGTTTTTGGCCATAACCGCAAAGACACAAAAGGCATCGCTGGAGACACCCGCAACAGACCTAAACAAAAAAATATCAAGTAGTTGTTGCCTATGAGTCCCCTGCTGGTTCTTATCAAGTGGGACGTTGCTGACATGGATTCGGAACTGTTTCTGGGGTAGCAGTGCCCAAAACTGGTCTAAATTTCTACCAGCCCAGCCTTTTCTGAGCCAAAGCCTTGGCCGTCTGCGTTGATTTAACAGCCCCTCTCGCATTCTCTGTAGTTGTTTAGGGGGAGGACTTTGTCCCACTTCTGCTTGTCTTTGGAAAATTCTATTCTTTGACCTGGAAGCTCTTACCCCCCAGGAAGAGTCTGACATCCCAGCTGCTGCATGATCAGGCATAAAAATCAATTTAAATGTAATCCTCTGAAAAATATAATTAGCAAGGGAGTCCAGTGCCAAAATAAATTATGGCCCTCATTTCCATAGCCAAATCGAATTTTAAAATGTATTCACCCCTTTGCTTTGAAATCTGTATGTGCGGATAATTAGAACTTGTGACTATAGCTTTCTAGGACCATCCCCTATTTACATTTCCTTACAGGTGTTTCATCCGGGGCTTTCCAGTTCAAACTTTCACCCCACTGCTCATCTGCCCCTGAGGGGTCAGCCAGCCCAGGAGAGAAAAAAAAACACATGTACAATTTACTCTTTTTTTCTGTGTTTTTGGGGAAGGGTCTAGAGGGTGCTCAGGGTCTCACTACCAGATCGGATTCATAGTGATCTACCTGTGTACAACTTCCCAAGAGTTGAGATTACAGGTATGCACCACCATGCCGGGTCTCAATTGCTGTCTCAGCATGCCCCGGGGGCGGGGCCAGCATAGCAGGCCCAGGGCTCCAACCCCCAGGCTCCTGCGCCTGCTTGCAGGCACTTTAATCCTCTGAGCTATTTGGCCGGCCCGTCTCATTGCTATTTGTTTCTCAATAAAATTATGGGGGAAAAAAATTTACTCTTAAGTAGGTAAAGCCCTAGAAAGTTTCTGGAAGGGGCTAACAGTAGGACTGCACAATGGCTTCTGTTTTCTTTCTTAAATGTGATAAAGAAACATCATGGTAAAGTTGCACAGAAGAGTAAAACAACCGTAGAGAAGTGAAAGAGAATAACTGGACACGAATCCCTGCAGGTCCACACACATACGTGTGCATGTGCATGCCTGTGTGCACAAAAATGTTTAAAGTATTGTATTTTATTAACTCTTGAAATACTGCACCATGTGTAATTGTCAGACAGATTTCCATGCCAGTGTTGCCACTTATCATATGTGTGCCCACTTCAAGGGATCTTCCTTGACCTTAGAATTCTTGTCTGTAAAATACTGTGGCCTCATGAGACTTTCTCTAGTGTTCCATTTGACTCTAAGTGATACAGTCCCTGGGATTTTCCAACTGAAATTTAAGTAGATTGTTTTTAGTGTAACAAGTCTGGAAAAACATAAGAGCTCCTAGGAGCATCCCGAAAGGATGGCTGCAGCTGTATGGAGCACTCTAAAAAACTGAATACAACAATGAACATGGGTTAAGAATGTCCATTCTAAAACTAAAATCCTGGGGGGCCAGGGAGATGGTTCAGTAGAATAAGCACTTGCCTGGCAAGCATAAGGGCCTGAGTTCAATTCCCAGTTCCACCAAAAATAAATAAATAAATAAATAAATAAATAAATAAATAAACAAATTATCTAACATCCTGTGTGGCTTTGTGTTCATCTCTAACTTGCCTTCGCTGACTCTCTTTTCTTTAGGAGAACTATTTTTTAATATTCTGATTCTTTGCACTGAAACTTGACAGGTTTACAGAGATGGCGATTCACTAATTCTGACAGCTTACCTGAACATCTCTGCAAGTTTAAAATGGACAAATTAGCACAAACAAAAGGAAATATTGTTTTACGTTAACAGGTGGGGGAAATACGGAACAGCTTGCCATAGTGCTGAGATGAACTAAACATAAAGATGTCGTGATGTTTTCATAAATGGGGACAGAAGGCCTCTTGGTGCTTGCTAATGCAAACTGATGTGTCTGGAGGACCCCTTCCTCAGGGGGTTTTGCATAGTCTTGTTACAAGCAGATCTCTGAACCCAGTGAAGTTTGGAAGGCCTTGCTTCTTTTCACAAGGCTTTTCTTCTCTGCTATCCATGGCTGTACACTGAGAGGATTAGTTGGAAAGGATGAAGCCTTGTTTTTTCCTTTCTTTCATTTTCTTTCTTCCTGGAGTGGTGCTAACCAACAGGGAGATGCCCACAGAGCAGACAGCTAATGGGCATGAAAGTGATGAGGCCTGGCCTCTGGATCCTGAGCCCTTCACAGTCTTTCTTTGCAAGGGCTGAGGTAGCCATCTATATCCCCTCCGGTGTCTGTCATCTAGCTATCAGAACAGTACAGATTAAGCACCAAATGCATTGTACAATTGGAACCGCAGTCATGAAATGTAAATAATGGGTCTTATCCCATTAAGTGTGAAAAATAAGAAGCAAAAAGTAGAAAGCTAAGTCTAGCTCAAGGTCAGTAGGCGACTGTATGACTTTCTACATTGCAAGTCTCAAATAATTATTTCTTCCTATTCAACTCTAGCCTCTAAGCAAAACCCCTGACAGCGCCTGACAGATGTGCCTGAGCAGGACTCCCTGCCTTGCACTGCTCACAGTGCTATTACTGGCCGCCCAGCTGACCAGCCAGAACATATTTTAGAAGAGCTTTGTAGGGCCATTCCTCAAAGCACCTCACCTGTTTTAATAGTGCGTCCGAGTCCGTGCAAGCATAGTCAAGTGGAAACTGGAAAATGACCAAATTCCTCCCCGATGAACATAGATCTGAATGCCTGCTGGGTTTGAATCTCAGTTCTGCCACTTGGACGATTATTTATCTTCTCCACTGCATTGGATGTATCCCCATGTCTGAAATGGAGCAGATAGTAACACCTAGCCCATCTGCATTTACATATAAGATTATGTGATCTTACGTGTAAAGAATTTACGCTGCATGTAGATGTGTGCTGTTTTGATCTTGGTTGATATTGTTGAGGGTGACATTACCCTGCTGCTTGCTTGAAAAGTAGGGGACATGTTTTCCTGTCAGTATTGCCACTTCATGTGTGCCTACTTTAAGGGAACCTCCTGGACCTCAGAGTGCTGATCTGTGAAATACTGTCATTTCATACAATTGTCTCTAGAGTTTCATTTGAGGCTAAGTGGTCCAGTGCCTGTGGATTTTAGCTGAGATTTAAGTAGAATGTTTTTAATGTTGAAATGTCTAGAAAAAATGTCTCCCTCCTCTAGTTCACCGAGTGCACATCAGAGTTATCTTGTTTCAGGATGGAACAAGTGAAAAAAATCATTTCCTTACAGAGTTACAGTCCAGGAAAGTGTCAGGATCTAAGTATATTTCTTTATCCTTATTAAAATAACTTACGGTGGAAGTCTCAGAGTCTAGAGGAATTGTACCTTCTCAGACCTTAATTTTTTCTAACAATCCTGTGTTATTGATTCCATTAAGTTTTAAAACTCAGAATTATCTCTAAGGTCTTATGTAAAATCATATGCCTTGTAAATCTTCTCTTTTAAAACTTGGATTATATTTCTGAAAATAGTCTTATAATCAAAGCCTGTAATAAATCCAAATGGTAAAATCAGGAAAAGTAAAATGATATACACAGAGAAATGTGCACACACACATTTACACCCTACACACTTGTTACAGAACATACCATTATTTTTAGGACTGCAAAATATCTTTTTAAAAAAATGAATAAGAACTCCCAGTATTTTCTTCTTGGTACAGGGAAAAGAAGCAGAGGAAAACATACAAGAGGATGAAGAAGATACAATTGCAGATTCTGCATTTCAGAGCCATGTCGTAGGTAAAAATTCATTTCTTAAGATACCATTAAGTGTGAGGTGCTTTCCTGTGTGGACCCTTCTTTCAGACACCGTATGTTCCTGAAGGCCATGTCTTATGCCTCCATTAACCAGACTGCGCTTTTTAGCTTTGTCTCTTCAACACCCAAAACTATCATTGAAAGAGTGGGTCAAAGTGGCATGAAGAAAACATAAGGGGTGTGTGTGTCTGTGTGTCTGTGTGTCTGTGTGTCTGTGTATCTGTGTGCACACATGCACACAACCAGTAGGTAACCACGGAAGATGAGCGGTGAGGAACTATGATCCTTGTCTCAGGAGACTGAAGAGGCAATGATTTTAACATCTCCATGTGACCATTGATGCTTGTAGAATTAGTTCTCCCTTATAAAATTAGCTGGGAATGTGGATATGATGATTGTTTGTCTTTACAAAGACAAAGACAAGACACCAAGGAATGATGGAATTATTGCTCTAGTCATATCTAGATTTAGCAGATGGTGTTGAATACCACTTTCCAGGACAGGGTAGCCTTTCCAGTTTCCATCCAGTCCACGTCCATTGCTCTTGTGTTTCCCTGGAGAATCACTGGCTGCCCATGTCTGCACCCCATGGCTCTTAGTGCCATGTTGGTACACTTTTGGCCCACTTTCCAGCGTCTGCCACAGTCTTCTACAAACTATAATTTACAGTTTATCTTGGAGAGTTGTTATGCCACAGCTTAATGAGACAGGCAAACCACTATTATTCCATTCATTTGTAATTGGGAATACAAAAATCTTAACAAACAGCTCAATGAGTATAGTCTGAATAAGATTATTATTCCAAGAAGGCATCCTTTATTATAGTTGTCAAAGTGAAATGCTTAAATTGGTATCAGTGCTGTGTAGTTAGCTACCATGCAAGTTAAATATTGTTTAAGAACCTTCAAACATGTTGATACATGAAGCCCTGCTGATTCATCATTTTCCCATAATGAGGTGTTCTTGGGTCTATAATATAAAGGAAGAAATTTTGTTCAAGAGAAGTACACTAATCTAAATATTTTAATAGCCTAACAGTTCTTCAGGTCTGTGTTGTTTGATATGCTAGCCATTAATCACATGGGGCTATTTCAACTTAAATTGATTAAAGCAATATAATATTAAAATTTTAGTTTCCCTAATTGCTGTAGGAATATTTTGAGTTTCTGTTGGCCACATACACTATATGTTCTACATGAACCTTCATTACCTTTTTTTGAACAGTGCTGCTTTAGATTACCATATTATAAGTAAATTTGGATTATGCTTGTGGCAAAGATTGGGTTGACTTTTAGATCAGTGTAGAACTGACCTACTCAAAGTCAAAGGAACTACACAAATAAGATGCACTGGACCAGTGTGGTGACACATACCAGTAATCCCAGCTCTTAGGAGACTGAGGCAAGAGGATTGTGACAAATGTGAAGCCCACTTGAGCTACATAGTGACTTCAAGAACAACCTGAACCAATAGGGAAACAGTGTGTCAAAAAAAATGCACTGGACATAAATAAACAGAAACCTGACAAGATATGAATATTATATAACTAATAAAATTTTGCAATCATCTTGCATTATTCATTCTCTGTCTTTGTTACATTTCCTCATTGCTGGAATAAAATACCCAACACTTAGAATTAAGGAAGGAAATGTTTATTTAGCTCACAGTTAGTGGAGGTTTCAGTCCATACTCGGCTGGCTCCAAGGCAGAGTGGTACATGGCAGAGGTTAGATATTCATAGCAGCAGAAAACAGCAAAAAGCAAAGGGGGAGCTGCTGCTAACAAACCTCTCTCCCCTCATTACATTTATATGTAGATTATCTAACCCAGGGCAGATGTAGCATTAACACCCATAATCCCAGCATTAGATCAAGAATTAATCTCAAACTCTAGAAGCCACTCTAGGAGTGCATAAGGCTTTAGGGGGACAACTAGACACACCATAACAGTCTCAAATGAAACAGAGATGTTCAGTGCTCAGTAATGATGTCAGAAGTGTTGCCTCCTTTTATCTGTCTACTTAGCCATCACTACCATGTTGGTTTTTGTCCTACGCTTATTGCCATTAGTTATGAGTTGACTGCTGCCACTCTAGGCATCTCATTGCCATGTGAGACAAAAAGAATTAAAGCTTGGCAGAGTCACCCCTGCAGGTTCCACCTTACCTGGAATTGGTGAGGAATGGATCCCTGTCATGGTCCCTGAAAAATAGGCTAGGTATGTTGCTCTCTGACCTCTCTTGCATGAAGTAGCAGACGGAAGAGAGCTCAGCATAGCTGCTGGGCTGGCCAGTCAGAATGGTGGCCTTTTTGAAATTCCTCCATTTAAGACTACATGCAGCTAATCAAAGTCAGGTGCTTATTTACCTTTATTTCACAAGAATGTCTGGGAACATGCATTTGTGTCCAAGTAATCCCATGTTCTGCAGTTTGTCCAAGTAAAGTGTTACCACTTGTGCTCGCGATACTGTATAACCATAATATAATATTTTTAATAACTAAAGCTGAGCAACTTGGAGTATATTCTTCCCACCAATATTAGCTGATGTTGTTGACAGAGAAGAACAAAGAAGAAAATTGTGACTCTCAGTGTTTAGATTTCTGCGTGTAATCATCTGCAATTAATCAAAATGTTATAAGTTGATTACACTATATTGTAATTAAACCTGTTCTAAAGTGAAATTCAAGACTTAAGAATCAAGTAGAATACTACCATTAGAATTACGTCTTTAAGGTTTTCCTAGTATCATACTTCTATGTTAATAATCAATAAGTGAATGAGTAGACTAGCATAATGGTTGTATTAATGTAAATGATCATCATTGCCACATTTCTGATTTTTCTTTCCTGATATTTAATGATAATAGATTCACCCTATATGTTATATTATCTACTACGGTTACATCATTTGTAGGAATTCAAATACCATTGTCTGGTATTGAAAACCTTAGCCAATGATAAGAATAAAAAAGAATTCCCTAACAGAGACAGCGGACTTGAAAATTTTTATAAATAGGAGAAAATGTCTTCTAAGAAATTTTAAAAAGAAGCCAAAAAGAACTCAATGGTATCTACAAAATGTACCTTTCATAGAAGCCTGTTATTTTCTCTTGTATAAAGGAGTTACAAAGAATAATCTGTCTTACAGTCCAGTGAACAAATACCCTGGTGCCCCATGGTGCATAAGAGCTGTTGACTCTTCCTCCGTTGGTGAGGTGAATCCTAATCTTTGCTGCAGGATCTAGAAGAGTTCCTGCTACCAGAGTATACACAGTGTGACAAAGGACATGCTCTAGCTCCCATGATTCAGCTTTCCTTGGATAGCTCTGTGATATCATTTTGGAGCTCTCCTCCCTTCCCCAGAAACTGATGCTGTTGTAAAGAAAGCCCACTAGCCCATCTCCTGTCCTGCTTCCATTCCTTTCCAGCCAAGGTCAGCAGCTAATACAGAAAAAAGGTTTTGAGTGACTTAGCATAACAAATGAGTCCATTACAGACTTTAGCTGACTAATAACTGATGACACTATAGTAATGCATTAAACAAATACATGTTCAGGTCTCCTACATACATTGTAACAAGGAAACAGGTAAAGTTTTACCTCCAGTTGAGAGGAATCCTTAGGAGCTGTAAGTTTCAGGCACTCAGGTGCTTGTTTGAGCAAACTGTACAGTGAAAATAAAGGGCGGGATCAAGCCTGCCTTGGATAATGAACTGCACAAGAAACAGCACTAGAGGAAAAAGGATTAATTTTTGTGTAGCCCTAGTGCTGCCTTAAAGCTAAAGCTATGTTGAGCCAAATCAAGGCAATTTGGGATACCATGGACAAAGGCTATCCTCTCCAAGAACATGAGGCTTTAGTGGTGTTAAATTTCTACCCGCAGCTGATCTGTACTAAGGGAACACAAACAGATTTCTTTATCATTTAAGAAAGGCAAAGGAAAAGAAATTCAGAGAGTTGTTGGGAAATATGCAGTTCATTTCAATGACATGCTTAATTTCTACTTTGGATAGTTTGAACTTTCATTACTCTCTACTTGGACAACTAACCTTGAATAACTTTTTGAGGAAATGTATTTAACTTTGATTACTTTGCCACCACTATGTTGATAAATAAATAGTTAGTTGGTTATCAACAAAGTATGGAATACAACCTAATCTAGAGTTTTCCCTCCTCTAAATTTAAAACAATAGGACAGCAAGGCTTCTAGTACCGTATCTGCCAATCAATTAAAAGTCCTTGACCATTATGTATCTTATTTCAAGAATATTACTAATTTTCCACACTGAGAAAAATTTGAAGAAAGTGGATAAATTTAATGTAGAGCCAATGGCATTTCTATGTAAGATACAAATTAAATCATAGCCCAGAAAGTTGCCTAGCCTCTTCAAAGCTTTTTGAGTGAAGAATTATTTGAGTTGTATATCACCACTTAAATACTCCCATGACATATTTCAGCCTAATTGTGAGTTAAGCGAACCACTGAAGATAAACAAAATGTAGGTGGGAAGTGCCGGTGTGCTCAATACAACTTAAAGTCTGAAAGACTACCTATGTACTGAAAACTACTTAGATAGTAGTGCCTGAGTATCAAAATATAATGGTGCATTTCTTTTATGATTCGGATCCCCAGTTAATATTTCCCAGGATGATTTCTCTTTTGCATTTTTCTAAACATAGAAAATGACACCTACAACTACTATGCAATAGTTTGGGTAAAGGCACTTCCACCGTGCCCCACATTACCCATTCGTAACTAGCTACCTATGACAAACCATCACCATGCACTGAGTATCCACTATGCACCAAGCCTCACATTCTTTCTCCTTTCACATTCTTTTTTTTTGTATTTGGTACAGGGTCTCATTACACAGCTCAGACTCATAGTGATCCTAGTGATCCTCCTGTTTTCAGCCTCCCCAGGGCTGGAATTACAGGCATGCGACACTACACCCTGACTCAGTCGCTGGCTTAGTGAACCTGG